GCTATTATATATTATTACTCTACTACAACTACTGCTACTGTTACTGTTACTGCTACTCCTACTACTACTACTACTCCTACTACTACTCCTCCTACTCCTACTCCTCCTACTCCTACTCCTCCTACTCCTACTCCTACTCCTACTCCTACTCCTACTCCTACTACTCCTGCTGCTGCTGCTGCTGCTACCCCCACTACTATCACCAGAACGGCATATATTTGTTATATATTCAATATGTTTGTATTGATGGTTGATTGGCGTGGAGTATGTTTTGACACGTTACATCTGTTTTGGTCCTGCTGGTAACAATCTTTTTGGGCATCACCTCCTTGGGAGTCTTTTCGGGGTTTTCATTTGCTAGGTCTGTTGGTTTGAGCAGGCGCCGTCGGGCGAGGGCAGTTTCACCTTGCATTTGGAAAGCAAGGGCCAACCCCAGGTCAGCCGGGAACCCTTTGTGCCTTGTGTGCTTAAATCTATGCATGATTAGATCTATTCGAGGAGTCCTGTCTCATGGACTATCAAATATATTGTCTGAAGCAGTTGGGGCAAATGTTTGTCATCAGTTGAACATAGTTGAACGGTTTTCATTTTAGACCTTTCTTGTGGCACTTCTGTACTTTCTTCTGCAAAGGGTTCCTGTCATGACGGGCAGGGAATGGCATGTAGAAACCAAACATTTTCCAAGCTGCAGGAGCTAGACCCTGGGCTGAAGAGGATGTGTTTGGAAGGCCCTGTGCAGTCTTTTCGGACGATCTCCGAAGCCAATACCTTTCAAAGGGGCGATCATCATTGTTCAGTGAGAAGATGTGGTTTTCCCCCTTTCTTCATCGCTGGCAGGGAGGTTTCATTTTTGTGGGCCTCAACTTCAGTCACAAGCTCGACGCTTTTCAAGAGATTCCCTTCGTCGAAGTCACTACGCCTCAATCACTACAGGAAACAGTATGTGGTTGGGGACAGGAGTCTATCATTACCTAGACACTCCATGTCTGGAATATTGCCTATATACATTGACCCGTGAAGCTAACTTAAGTATTATATATATATATACCTATCCCATGCCACATGCACTGTCAGGGCATGTCAGCCCTTGCCTTATTGTTAAATGAACAGATGCAATGAACAGCATTGGGGCCCCCATCTTGCTGAATGATGATCGCAGAATGGACCCATCGCGCCCTGGTTCTGAAAGGGAGGACATGTCGTTCAGGACTTTTGTTGCAATTGATGTACTCTGTTTTCAGAACAGGGGACTGAGTGGTAGTACGCATCTTTTCTTTTTTTTACTTGTGTTGTCATGTTCATATTGTACTGCTATTTGGTGCTACTATCTCATTATATATTCTCTTAATGGTAGTGTTGGCTGTTGTTTGCTTGTGCCAAGAAGGCTTCAACATGGCTATTCCCTTTGCATTTGCTGTTTGTGTAAAATAGTCACCAAAGCCACAAACAACAAAACAAGTCCGTGTCTCAGGATCTGCCCCGACATTGACTTATTTGTTGCTTTCTGCTAAAGAAGGATCTAGTGATACTCCGTTGTTCTTGAACGAGTACTAAAAAACAATTGTAAATACTGCGTTTGTGGCTTTACACTGAATATTAATAAGGACACATGTCAACAAATTTGACAGCGCAAAGGGTGAATAATGAAATAGCACACATTAGACAACTGTATTGCAGAAAGAGCAGAAGCCTCAAACATGTTGATAAGATATTGTGAAGGTAGTTTGTAGTGTTCATGTTCGCAATAGGCAATAGATGTATGAAGACAAGTAGACAATGGACATGCCACATATTGAGCCTGAAGGACTAGCAGAAGAACAGTCAAACAGTTGGTATGTTGTTTTAGTTCAACCCGTTACCCTCATGAACGATCTTAAAGAACGATGTATCCTGATTTGACTTGTATCAACAGATTGACATAGATTGACATCAAAATATTAAGCATTGGTATAATGAACTATGGCTTAAAAGCAGCATGGAAGCAACAAAATGCATGTTAAAAGTAGATAATACTATTCAATATACATTGTAGTGGACATAAGGCTAGAATAGACAATTATATTTGATGCATTGGTTTCAGGGATTGTATTTTTGGATACTATACAGTTTTAAGTGTTTGAATTGTGTGTACCTATAAGATTATCCTAATTTCAATATATAATAATATTGTTATTTGAATCATATAATACAGGAAACTGTTGATTTAAAATATTAGAACATTGTTTTTAATAATATATATATGGTTTTATATGTTAGTTATTGAACATATTAAACTAATTACATAATAATGCCTGTATACATATATATATATATATATGTAAAATGTGGGAGAAGACAGAGTCAGGTACCCCTGTGAAGGTATTTGATGAACCCTCTCAATTGCTTTACTTTACCAGAGCAAGAACATATCAGTAAAGCATTCTTAGATGATATTTATATTAATATATGCACAATAGTACTGTAGCTAACATGAAATTGCACAACATATATATAGGTATAAACCAGTTGAGCTGTTCCATTCACGTTTCTATCACATGACCCAAGAGACGGGGGATTCTCCGGGAAGGCATTGCAACATAATCAGCGGTTTCACAACATTGTCATCAGATGACACTGTGATTAAATTTGGGGGGGACGGGGTGTGGGGATGGGGAGACGGGGCAGAACCTATCATCCGCCTCAGAACATGATCATTGGTCATCGGTTCCATAACAAGATCATCGGTTTCACAACATGGTCATCGGTTTCACAACATGATTATCGGTATCACAACATGTTCATCGGTTTCATAACATGATCATCATCGGTTTCATAATATTGCGTCACCGGTTTCGAAGCATTGTCATCGGTTTCACAACATCGTCATCGGCGTCACCACATTGTCATCGGATCACAATGTGATTAAATTGGAGTGTGGGGGGGAGGGGGTGGGGGAAGGGGAGTCGCTGTGAAAAAGACAAACCACGCGACTCACCTCGGACCTCATTTCGGACACCCTCAGAATACACTGTTTTTAACAGTCGTGTAAAACGCACCAACTCATTTTTCCATGGCGAAACATAGGGTTTCGATCATATCCACATGCTTCTTTCGCACATGCCGGAGAATTACAAGCAGTTTGCATACATGCCTCACATAAAGCTCATCATTGAGAGCCCTTGCAACGACTCAACATGCGCGAACATATTTGAATTTTGTTCGCGCAACTTGATGCTTAAGATACCCATTCAAACATCAGTGCGCAAGCTTCTCACCAGTGGCCCTGCGAACATAGACTATCCAGGCTGAATGCAATCTATTGAACCCTTCGGAGAACCTCCCGTCTCTACCGTCACAGCGCCATGCTCTCCAGGACAGGACGCCCTCAGTGTGCGCATATGGCAGTTAAACTACATTGTAGAGAGTATGATGCATTTGTTTCAAAAATGCATGCATCTAAAAACATGAGTTATGTTATCATATTGTTCCTTTCAACAAACAGATTGTATAATACAAAAATAGAGTAATAAGTAATAACAAGGAAGAAGGACATGATAGGTAATTCTATCTCATAATAAACTGACGCAGACGTAAAGAGCTAGAAACATATGAAACACAAAAACATGTACTACCACAGTCCCCCGCTCTTTGCAGAACTTGTCCTAAGCCTATCATGTTTCATAGGTCCTGCAACAAATCGAAGAATGACTGCAAACACCAAGTTAGAACCACCCAGCCTGGCAGTGCCTGGGTCCACGCTTGCTTTGGATCGGATTGTGTCCATCGCCGATGGGTCCACCGACCGAGCACAGGGTTTCGCGTGACGCTCGTCCAAACGGACGAGCGTCGCGAGTTGCGCACGGTAGGAACTTTTTTGTTGCCGCGGTGCGGAACGAGGTGGAAGGCGGAAGATTTGGCCCCGCCGTAAGATCATCAAGCTGATGTTGCCTAGATATTGATTGAAGGTTCCCTTCAATGGTTTACAATTTCCTTATTGTTCAGGTGTTTGTTTATGTTTGTTTCATCCATTGGTTTATAGAACTCAAAAGGTTTGGGATCCAAGTGACATTCAACTCCTTTGTTACATTTGCTAGGCTCCATTATCCCGAAATTGTAGAACTGCCCTGACCCAGCCACAGATTGAACAAGGAGCACACATGCAAATTGACTAAGGGGTGCAGAGTTTCTGTGTTTTTAAACCCTCCAAAGCTAGCTGAGTTCAATCCACTGTATTTAGGGTTCGAGAACGACAAAACATAATCATTCCTAGTTTGGTTAAAACAACATGTGAGGAACTGGAGCAGACTTCAGTCCAAACTGACTTAAGTATGGATGTAAGTTGTCACTCCTTGCACCGCTGGTTCAGCCCAGAGAGTCTCACCAGCAAACGAAAAATGCGATGTGGCTATGGATTCACAGTGATTCACACGAACAGTTCCCTGAGCCAACAGCATCCTAGATTGACATCCTTGGTGGTCAAGAAGCACCCTACAGTAGTCCTGAAAAGCCCCAAATCCTCAACTTGTTGACGAGCCACCAAGAGGGACATGGATGGAAACTCCATCAACATCATCAACTCTCATCCAGTGCTCAATGTCAACCAGTTTCATCAAGAGATGGCCAGGGAAATATCATGAAATATCCTTTGCACCTGTGAGAACGAGTGCACCAGATGTGACCTATATACTTGGGTGAGCGTCTCAAAAATTGTCCAGGATCAAGAGCAGAGTGTGTTCAGTGTTGACCCAAACGTCATTTGCTTCCGAAGTCGGCCAACGTCGTCTTGCCTGACTTCCAACGTCGTCTTGTCTGGGCACTGGTTGAGTCAATACCTTTCGACTCATGGCTTGTTGAGTTTCCCCCAGATAGCGACAAGTATCTTGCGGTCACTTCTGGATAACTGGGTTCTGGGGGTTGGCTCGAGGGCGCTGAAGTGGCGAATGAGATTTGGAGAGACACAGTACACTTCACACCTTGCACATCGTGCACACCACTTGGATGAACAGGAGATCCCTTTCACACGTATGTTGTTCCTGGTTCTTCTTCAGCGTTGACCCTTTTGAAAAGCCAAAGTGCTTTTGTCTATCAAAGATGCCGCCGAAGGAGTTGGGTTTCGTTAAACTTTCATGACGCAACACGCCACGTCGTTTTCGACGACCGTGTCAGATGATGTTGCGGATGGTCACGTGGTCATCGTTTGCTGTGTTGCGTTTTCTCCCCGATGACGAGCTGCGACCGAAGTCCGCTGGGTTGGGCCTGTCTCCGGCTCCAAAGCACGTGCCGGAATCCGAATAGACCGGAGAGACGCGAAAAAACGGTCTTATGGAGCCCTAGGGTGTGTGTGTGTGTGTGTGTCACCCTTGGAGTCATAGGGATGCTTTTGCATTTGCTTTTGTTTTACAGCAGGGGGTGCAAGCAGCCCATCCAGTCTTGCACCAATGAAGACACTGGATGTGTGCTGGTGAAATCAATCCGGGACGCCGGATTGACGTACCTGCGTGGAGAGAAACCTACTTAATGGACAAGCTGTTCCAATGCTGTGTTTGCAGTAAGCGGCTAATGCATCGGTGCTTTTCCTTGAGTGCTTGGACCTTGGGAGCTCCACTGACCTCCTCGAACCGTCGTCACCCTGTCGTCCGTTCGATCGGTGTTTTCTACTGGATGGACCTCCTCTTTCTTACCTGTACCCTTAGGAATTGGAACCCTAGGCCGGCGTGTGGCACCGCTATCAAGTCAGTACGCATATCCATGAGTGTGTTTGGCTTCGTGCCAACCCGGGATGAGCCCGCAGAGTGCCTCCCGTGGACCCGTCGAACGGGTGTATGTCCATGTTCCCCGGCTCTGGGAACGCAGATGTCCGCAGCGGACAGCAGGTGGCCCAGGCCGTACGTCCGATGATTTTTGTCCCATCTTTGGAACTCCAAGTTGGCTCATGCCTTTACGTGACCGCAGCGGTCTAAGCAGCCAGCCATTTTGGCACGGCGTACGTGGCCGCAGCGGCCGAAGCCTGTTCAAGGTTCATTGGAACCTGTCGAGACCTTGGGTGCACATACAGCGTATACATTCAAACGAGGCAGGTTTTCCTAGGTCGTTTTAATGAGGCTCGGCTTCATCGGTTCTCGTCCCCTCCATTTGGTTCCCCCTTTCATCCCTTCCCTTCACACACTCTTGTTTCCTCTTTTCTTTCATGTCCTCCTGTCTTCATGTCTGGTCATCTCATCCTTTTCTTCGTTTGCGCGCACATTGGTCCCGGCCTTAGTGTGTACGTGCACTTCTACACACATTTAAACACAGGTTTCAGGTCGCCCAGGTCTTTACAATGAGGTGGGCTTCATCGGTTGTCCCTGTGCACTTGGTTCCCCTTTCATTTCAACCACACGCACCTTTGTCCCGTCTCGTCCTCTGGTCATGTCTTCATTTTCTTGTCTCTTGGGCGCGCACACGTGCACATCGGCCCTCACCTTAGCTTCTCGCCTCCCCTCGGGGAGGCGTGTGTGTGTCACCCTTGGAGTCATAGGGATGCTTTTGCATTTGCTT